ACGCCCGAAACAACGTCCGTGCGCAGTGGGGCCCCCATGACAAGTACAATGGCGACTGCTGTAGCTTTCGTGGTGATGTCCATTGCTCTGTCTGCGGTGTAGATGGCAAAGGTAGTAGATAATATGCAGAACGTCATGCACTACATATTGTTACATGAGTGGACCGTGACGAAAGTTCGTATGAGGTACATGTAGCGACTGTTCAGGGATCACTTTCATGGCGTGCGAGTTGTGCGACCACATCAAGGGGCGCATACGCCAGATGCGCAATTTCCTGTGGCCTGCTACTAATCACCGCGACCATGTCTTGGCGACAAATGGCCACTCTAGTTCCTTGCATCAGGCTAGCGTCGTTTGAACTTCTCCTGTGGACCATCTCATTTTTAACGGGCACTTCTTCTCCCTTTCCCATGTGCCAACCAACTCGGCGTCAACGGTCACAATTACTTTGGAAGTTGCCCCATGCGATTCACGTCGACGTCACTGATTGTAGCTGCTGCTGCCGCCGCCATCGCGTTCTCACTGGAGACCAACATCGCTGTGGACAGCCAAGTTGAAACGTTGCCGCAGCGTATTCGTTTCGGTAGTCCCCCGGAGAACCGTCCGACCCCCGCGGCTTCGGTTCCCTCCACGGATGATGCGGACAACTTTCCCACGGATGCCCCTGGCACAACGCCCAGCCCGACAGAACAAACTGCTGGACTGGACAGGCCTCTCGACGTTCCAGCCTTTTTGAGCTCCAACTCGACGACCCCGCCCCCACATACCACGGCTAAACAAAATGATGCTTCGACGGCAAGCGCTGCCGCAGCGACGACGGTGGCACTAATGGCCTTCTTCGCTTACAACTAAGCGTAGGATGGCGCGGCCTCGCTCGCATGGAGAACGAGCACACTAACATTGCATAATGAACTGATTTGATATCGTTCTGCTGCCCGTCTGCGCATGGTGGCCTGACAGTTTGCGTGGTGGCGACCTTGTCCTTCGATAAACCAGGCAAATAGACTGAACACCATCGAGATATCTGTTCCAAATACCGCCAGTTTTCAATTGTCCCATGCGCATGTATATCGTCTCGGCCGCATGTGCTATGAAGCTAACGGGACCTACCGCTGCATTTGAGCTACCTGAGTGTGCCCCCGGCTGCCGCGAAGGTGGAACGACTGGTTGCTATGGGTGTCCAAATTGGGGCTATGCTATGGACCCGTACGCAGTTGGCCTAGCCGATGGGACGGTGATTCTTCCGACGGCAAGTCGAGCTGCTGAAGCCGCCCCAATCGTCGTCGGCAGTGCGGATGGCGGCCTTGGGGGAGCTGGCACTGAAGGGGGAGTCTTGGCGAAATCGGTGAGCGAAGGGTCCCCACCAGACACCCACTCCATTCGTACCAGCGGTGGCACTTTCGTTCAACTCGCATCGTTCCTCACGATACTGGCAGTCATGTTACCGCTGTTCCTCCTGCTAGTTTAAGGGAAGCTGAATGCATGGACAACATTTGAAAGCGAATAGTTGTCGACGTTGCGTCTGAAAGCTGCTCTCGACACTCTAAGCCAACGACACATACGTTGGAATTTTGGAGCGAATGATTCGGAGGGCTTCCGAGCCTATCGAGTCGTCAAAAGATGATTGCGGCTGGATCCTGAACGCACCTCCGTTTCTCTCGAGCGCTGCCAGAGTCTGGTCAATCGGGCCCTTCAACGCTTTGTTGGTGTACTTGCGATGGACTTGTTGTATCAACTTGGCCAAGTGGACATTCATGTCGCCCCCCACAGCTTCCGACACCAATCTAGCTCGCACACACGGCCCCCCATGAATTTCAATCACTGCTGGGCATGAAAATCTACGCACTGAATCGCATGGAGCGCCACCGTGATGACGTCGTCGTCCGTGGCCATGAGGGCCCCTCGAATTGGAGGAATGAGTAGGCCCAGGAGGGGCCGAACTTTGTCGTCGGCGCCCTACAGCATTGGAGCAGTTGGCAGCGATGTTCCGCGTGGGCGGGCTTACGTTAGCCCCCATCAAGTCTTGGAATCCCTGGCGCGCGAGAAACACAAACGGGTGATCGGTTTCGAGGAACCCCTCGCAACACGTGACGAGGAGGGGGTTGTAGTCGAGCTCTTCTGGCGGCGTATTCCACTGCAGGCTGTTCTTAATGCCTCCGTGGTTGATCCTAGAATCCCCGGACGTCGTGACCAGTTGGCGCCGCAGCGGCTTGTAACTAAGCAGAGAATCGGCGTACCGGCAAGGAATGTTGCCCGCTTGATACGACGCGCCAAAGTTGGTTTTCGACTTCTTCTTGGTACTCCACGGGTCCGCTTGTTTATGCTTGTTCAGCGATGCGGATGGAAGGCCGTGCATCTTGACCACAGCTAAGCCAATGCCCCCTTAGCCCCATACGATTGTGTGCAGTCTTACGAGGGGCTGTGGTTTTTTCCAGCTGGTTATTGTTGGGTGGGGACGGTTTGGCTCTGGTCAAACCAGCGGTAGGGGGGTCGGCAACGTTTTTCTTGGAGGTCGCGACAGCGACGGTGGGCGGGGCATCTTTATCTGACCTCGAATTGCTCTGCCTGGCTCGGCTGCCATCTCTTGGCGCAGACAGAGGCTTCTTCTTCTTCTCCATAACCACCGATGCTTGATTGTTGGTTGGCGGCGTCGTCGTTCGCGTAGCGCGAGTCGTCGACAGCGGGGCGGCTTTGGCACGTATCATGGAAAGTTAAAGAGTGGCCGAAACGTATAATTAGACGCCAGGCTGCATGTCCAAGCAGCCTATGCCCCCCCTCTGAAACTGTTGAGAGTTGCGTGGTCGCACCGTCCATGGTGCAGGTCAAGCACGGAATTCAATGAGCCCGTGCGCGAGCTGGACGTTCGTCGATGGCATAAAAAGTTTTTCACACCAGCCGTGGGTGCAAAAGGATGGCCCCGACACCCCCCCCCCAACTCGGTCAGCTCCATAACAACGTGGTCATGTGCAATCACAGCAGCGATGTACTGCCCAGAGGTTGACGTATGCTTCGTGTCACTCCAAATGAACAAACGAACGAGCTGGAGGTGTTATGTGGGCTCCGACGCGAAGAGCAGTTTATGTGTGTGCTTGAAAGGACAGTTCCTGGGGGGGCATTTGACCTCGGAGCAGTGCTGCCACCGACGCCTACTGCATGGAGAAGGAGGATTCGAGGCGAAACAGCTCACCGTGGCACGTCCCGAACACTTTTCCCTGTCGTCATGGTGGTCGAGCCATCAATTAACGTTTCCGTGCAAGTGCATGCGTGGTGTAAAGCTGCACGTGTCTATTTTACACATCTACAAAGCAAAAGCGTGCGTCAAATCTCGTTAGAACAGTCCTCGGTGATCGTCTAGCTCATCTTCCGTGTCGCATTGTTTGGTGAGGACGATGTGGTCGAGGCCGGTTTTTCGAGCGCCCAACGTCACGAGAAAAGCCCCACCAAGCAGGAGGGGCGCGGCCACGATCGCCGATACATCCGGCGGGCCTTGAACGCCAACGAGGTAGCCCATGAAGCCTCCAAGCAATGGCTCCCACAAGACCGCCACCGATATAAGCAGCGGGCTCACGTACTTGACGGCCAAGTTTGCACAAGTATGACCGAGCATGCCTGAGACTGCGGCGGCGCCAAATGCCAAGCCAAACCGACGAGTGTCCCCGAGGAAACCCCAGAGCGCCGTTGAGCCGACCCCAACGATCGACGTTGTGGGCTCGAACACCAGGGACGCCACGGCCAGCTCCACCGTGGCAATTGCTGTCACCGGCAAAGCGTACGCAAACAGCGGCATCCACTTCCGGCACCCTGCCCCGCCCTCCAAGTACACAAGGATAGCCAGAGCCCCGAGCATTGCAGCCGCGTTGCCCGCCAGGGTAACTTGATGGGCATTGTGTTGCTGCGAACTTGTGGCCAACAGCAGGACAACGCCGGAAAACCCTACGACAGCGCCGAGGACTTCGAGAGGAGTGGGGGGGAGGGCTGGAAAGGGACAAATGACCGTGCGAAACCACGACGGATCGGACGGCGCATCGGCTGGGAGGAGGGCATGTGCTTCAGTAATGACCACGGCCGGCTTGGACTCGGACAGGGGCAGGCATACCCGTACCACGTTGCTCGGTGTCCCGCCTACCATCCAACGATACGCCCACCGCATCGCCATGATCACAACCAGCAGCAGCGGCGTCGAGCTCACCAGCAGGAGCGAGTCCAGCAGCGACGTGTGCGCGACACTCCACCCCCACGATCCAAAATGCACGCCAAGCGCCAGACCGATCGTGACCAACAACGGAATGTTTCGGCAAAACCTGGCCCAAAACGCAGGGTCTTGCAGCGTCGGATGGTGGCGCCACTCGTGCGCAAACCCCACAGCTTGCAACGCGACCGTAAGCTGGAGGCGCCAGCACGCCTGCATCAGAGGGGGCGTCTCCGGGAGCAAGGCAAACCACACCCCACCCGACGACATGGACACCACGGCGACGACGAGGATGGCATACGCCCACCACACTGGAGCTGGCGCAGTCATATCGACTTGCTCCCGTTCAAATCTCAACTGATATCGTCGCGACGTGTACTTGGGTCGTCGGGTGGTTGTGTGGCACATGACCAACGAATCCATGTGGCTCCCGTCCAAGTTGGCAGTGCCACCGATTTCGACAGGTGGGAGCCATTATCTGTGCGAAAATCGGCAATGGCCAGTGGATCGTGGGGCGCCCTGCCGAATCGTGACGCGAATCGAGCGCGGTGTCGAGATCGCAAGTGTTACAGCTGCGACACCAAAACGACATGTGCGAGTCGACAGGTGGGGAGGGTGCAGCCCAGTTCTCAGCAACGACCTTCTCAAACGATGTTGAAAGGCGGCAGACGATGTGGCTGGACGAATTTTGTGCGCCACCCGTGACCAGGGACGGGGACGGGACTGGAAACCCCATCGGCTTCGTCAAGGTTAACATACCATGACAGGCGAGCGCCAACTCGGCGTCGCTGCAAACTGTAACAAAGCCGCGTGGAGGCGCCCGTCTTTATGGGCGGCGGCATCCACTCTTTTATGTGTGTATCGTTCTTGTCCATTGATCTCGCACTGAACTCGTTTTGCTTCCGTCAGCGGGCACGCAAGACAGGTCGACCGTGCTGCATGGCACTCACAGTTCCAGTGGACCTTGCGCTTCAAGGGATTCGACAGTACGACTTTCGTCACGTGCATGCCGCTTCCAAACGTTGGCTTCATCGAGCTATGCTTACCTCCTTCTCTCAAGTCATCTTCTCCCTGGAAACATGTCTTTGGTTGTCGTTCCATGGACTTCCCCCCTGAACAACGTTCTCGTTGGCGGGTGGTGCATAGGCTTGTCGTCTACCAAGGACAATGGACGAGTGCGACATTCATTTGTCTGGGAGGGCTGGCTGCTCATTGCATCACTGCCTGCAGCTGTCATCCCAAAATGTTTCCCCCGAAAGAGCTCCTCGGGGCGGTGGCGCTCGCTGCGGTCCAAGCACACCGCCGAGTCTTGCTTTGAACGCACGGAATCAACTCAGACACACTTACCAAGCGCCATTGCCCAGAATCGTCCGATTCCGATGGAAATTCCATCCAAATTCAAAAGTTTGAGCTAAATCGCTTTGATTGGGTAAAATTTGGAGGATGCCGAGGCCATATCACTGAAAATGCAGCAAAACCGATTGCATTTTTAGCGAATTCAATCGAAATTGTTCGTGGTATTGAATGGAACGATCCTAGGAAATGCCCCAAACGTTCTCCCGTGGAACGATCAAGTTCAAGGGAACGATCTCTGCTGCGAGGTGCCGCCGAACCGATGGCAAGTACCGACGCGGGGTTCCAGCTCCAGGACGAAGCAGACGCCACTGCCGAGAACGCCGTCAAAGAAATTCGCCCGTCGCCGCCACGGTGGTCGTATGTGGTGCTGGCCGTCGCCGTGCTCGCCATGTCGACGGGCGGGATCTGGTTTGCGCTGCTGGGGACATTTGGCACACCACCGCTGATGATGGCTTGCTGGCGGTTGACCCTGACTGCGTTCTTGCAGTTGTTTGGTGTTGCATTCGAACTGCATGCTGTCAACACTGCTGGGCTCTGGCGGCGCTTTCGCCAGTCGGGGGTGCTCTTGACCTGTTCTGGTGTGGCTTTGGCCATTCATTTTGGAAGTTGGGGCTGGAGCGTCTCCCGAACGACTCTCCTGGATTCACTGTTGCTTGTGAGCTCCGTGCCGCTGCTCCTTGTCTTGATCCAAACCGTGCGATGGTTGTTTCGTCGCTGCATCCGCACGGCTCCCGTGGAAAGCCATGGGGCGGCGCATCTGCACCCGGTCACACCATCTTCTGATGATGTACTTCAAGGGCCGTACGTGTCCGTTGCAGGCGAGTCGCCGGCCGACTCCATGACGGCTTCACAATCGATGTCGTGGTTTCAACTCCTTTGTTGCCCATTGCACCAACTTCCCCCGACATGGTTGGAGGCGCTGGGGGCGCTCAGTGGATTTTTGGGCGTGCTTGTGCTATTACTTCTTACGCCGGTGGCCGTCGAAGCGCCCAACTCCACGGCTGTGGCTACGGTGGCAGGCAACTTGGCGGCTCTACTCGGAGCGGCCGCGATCATTCCGTACTTGGAGGTCGGAGCGAGCTGCCGGCAGTTCATTCCCCTCTTCATCTATGCTTTTCCAGTCACGTTGATTGCAGCAGTGACACTGGCCGTGGCGTCGCTGGCCTTTGAGCCAACGACACGAGTGACGTCGGTCGGGCCAACCGCGTTGTTTGGGTTTTTTGGCCACGCGGAGCGAGCGGGGTATGCCCTCAGCGCAGCCGCTGTCTCTGGGATTGCAGGCCATACACTCATGAACTTGGCTGTCAAGTACG